AAGTAAAWATRCAATMGAGWTYAACAAMGTGTTTGTCAATCAAACGTATAAAAGCGTGGTCTTTTTCMTAACTATCTCATAATTAAATGACTCCTTGAACCCCCGAGTTCTCACCATACAAGRTTGCTCATTAATTTTAGAATTTTAGRGAAAATTGTCTCCTTYGAAAGTTTTTTGTGTTRACGAGATTTCCWGTTATGAGATGAGGATTTTAAAATTATTTTCCAATAGACGGAATGTGTTATAAATGTGTGGTACTAAATAACTTTGTTTTTTACATGGAAGCCYTCTTTTTTTACCCATTTCGGACTTCGCGTTAAATTTTAATKTAAACTTATTTCAAAATTTTATGTTATAAGTTCTTATTATATTATTTCGAATTATTCGGAAAAATAGAAACATTTTGGTAGGTTCTGCCCAAAAATAATGTGTTATTTAATTATGTATATTCAATAAAACATTTGCCAACCAACTACTATACGAACGCAAAAACATGATACAGTAATCAGAAAGAGTAATAAATTTACCGACAAAATGGACAAACAACTTCCACAACTGGACCATACTGAATCGTCTTTGCCTTTTTTGCAAGACAAACCAGACAGTCCCTGTGCTGTAGTTCTGCGGTTAGAGGTTGTGGTCTACATATTTTTCTGGCTTTATCCGTAAGAGTCCAATATAAATTATTTCTCTAATTTTACAGAGATAATGATTCCTTGCTTCTGATTTGGGTGGTCGTTGGGTGTAGTATTGTGAAGAAAACTGTCGGCGCGGGTAACTTTTCGATATACCCTGTGGTCCAAATCTATTTGGTGGTGGTATTTTCTTCTAAAGTTCATATTTATTGTAATATCAAACTTTGACACACTAATGAGTAACTTGGTATACATTTTAGCAAAAATATAGTGGAAAGCTATGTTAAACGACGCTAATTTTATTATTACGCTCTTTATGTTGTTCGATTTTCGATTAATGAAGCCAGCGGTGTGCAAAATGTCTTATTTGTTCAAACGTTAACTTTTCTCTAAATTAGTTTTTTTCTTTCTGAATATAGTCTACACCATCCTATTTCGTGTTGTTCTATTTTTCGTATATAAAGCCATATATTTTTTTTTCAATTTTCTAATATAGTTTCTTATTGGTATATTTCCTAAACGGACATATGCTTCGATTGGATTCGATATTGGACGAGTCACAATTCAATTTAAAAGCCTTATGATTTATTAATAATAACAGAAAGTTCCTCAAATTAGCCAAACTAGACAAGCCATGAACGCAATATATATATATATATAACTTTTTCGCCATACATTTCATTTACTAAATTCAAATTTTCTTGGCAAGTGTGATATGTACATTCTGGTCCTTCCAGTTCAACTGAGTCACAAACAAACAGTTTAATAGCATCTATGTGTCGATGACTTGTGACATGAAACTTTAGCTGGGTCTTAGTTGGTTATATTTAAATTTTTTCTTTAGGTTTTTTTGGAGTCTCTACTAAGCATTGAAAGCAGGGCAACGAAAGCTTTTTTATTGTGTAAGGAATCAATAACCCATATACGAAACGGTTTCAAATTGCACCCGCCCCCGATAAAAGTCGCCTAAAAAGCCGGACTGCAATGAGGCAGAAGACAAATGAATACGACGTGGGGCCGATCGATGTCTCGTCATATTTCATTGTGCTTTCAAAGCACTACTCGTCTAATACTCTGTTTCATTATGGGGCTGTAAAGGGATTCCATTTGGTTGAAAAGGCTACCACGTTCCAGATTTTCAGTTTTTATTCCTAGGGCTTTCATTCGAAGAAACCATTTTAAAAGTAGCAATGAAAAATAAGCGAAAACTGTTGGTTGTCTATATTAGCAACGATAATGAGGATAAAACCATCGATAAACCAAATCGAGCTAACGAGCAAGTAGAAGCTTTCTAGATTCTTTCAAAAATTTCTTCCTGGTACGACGAGCCTCAGTCAGCACATACGGACGCTATTTTATCAAATTTTTAGATACGTCTTTAAGCGTAAAAATGACACACAACGAATTACTTTTATTAATAACTAATAAAACAATCTTGTTGAATCAATCAAGATGAAGTGTGAATTGTCAGAATTGTAGCAGAAGTGATAATAATAGTTCAGGAATTTTACGATAGAATTATGATTTTAAGTCAGATCCAGTGAGTCTAGATTCATTTTGTTTGCTCGGATAGCTATTTATTATTAAATAAAAATATTCCTATCAAAGATCATTTAGCGAAGGAACATAGATATTACTCAATGCTTATTAATTAAAAAAATTACAATTGTTATGGTGTGGCAACGCGTACACTTCCGTAATTGCATCGTCGTCCTTTATGTATCATGGTCATTTACCTCCACTCTATTTTCGCGAGTCGATTAATGAAAATCATCATTATAAAATATTCAAATGAATTGAACATGTTTAATATTATTGCCTCTTCTATCTTTTAATAAGGTATATCGCTTACAAATAAAGATATAGCTTCTGATATTTTAACATAAATTAACACGAGTTTGCTGCACCTGATAACTACATACGATTTAGTAATGATTTTATAAAGTTTTGGAAAAACTCATCCTTTGATGTACTTGATTTTACTTATTGTGTAAATACATTATTCTACCATATAATGGAACAATCATAGCTGGATCATACATTTGAAAAAAGTTTGTACGTTCATTCCCTCTTAAGCCTTTAGGAATCCTAAATCTAGTAACTTTAGATAAGTTTGCCTTTACAAATTATATTTTCTGGTCAGGATTAATTTGTACAAGAACTGGCTTTATCCATTTGTTTTTTTCTATTTTGGGTTACTTTGTGGTTTGCTTATACAGAGTGTCCCGGAATATGTGTATGTAAAAAAACATGACAAGTTTCAATAAAAAAATGTCCAGAAGGTTCTCCTACGGCGATACATTCCTCTAAAGGAGCCAACTGAGAATCGATGAGATGAGATTAAAAATGACCCATGAAAAGATTTTTAGCATCTCGGTTTGTCAGGGATGGACTACGTGAAACACAATAATAGTTCTTTTTACTCTTTACAATGGAGCCCTCCAATAGATTCATTAAAATCCGTATTCAATAAAAACATTTTTTTCTGGAAAGCCGTTCTGTTTATCGATATGAATCAAGAGTGTTTTTTTAAATTTAAGGTTAAAGCTATATAAATACATTATTCTGCTCTACCTAGTCAATCCCTGGCAAACCGAAATGCTAAAAATATTTTCATGGGTTCTTTAAACATCTTATACAAGGCAAGAAGTAATCCAAAGGTAATATATCGAGTAACATATCGATTTGTTTTACAAGATTCCAATAACAATCACATCGATTTGGCGTGCTACAATAAAATTTAAAAAAAAAATCGTGCATTACCACCTCTAGTATTACATTCTGTGCTGACTAAATCAATTAAAGAGTCAATCAGGTGTTGACAAAATAAAATCTTATCTAACTTTTCACGTTAATTCAGATCACATTTTATTCAATCATTGTCCACCTGACCTAGTAGCACTCTAAACTAATTAGCTGATTTTCTTCCAGTTGTATCCAGAAAACATCCAGAACCATACTATGGAACAAAGATCGGGCCCCTACAAGACTTCGCTCATGGGATTAGGGGCATCGTGTACGCCGTCGACGAGACAACAATTTTTATAAAAGGTTTCTCTTATGACGGCACTGGTCCGGATGCTTTTTTCTGGATAGGGAATTCCCCCAGGCCCAGTCCCGAGGGTATCATCATACCTTATCCGGAAGACTACCGTGAAAGGTACGAAGAGTATCTGTATTATATTTGATGCGATTATTGTCGAAGCTGATTCGATGTTTTATATCTTGGGGTTGTAAATTCTGCGGAAATGTTCAGTTGGTCTCCACAGGGTGGCTTGGCTCATTTTCTAAAAGCGTTATAAATTTAATATCGGCCTAATTATGAATGCTAGTTATGAAAGATGTAGCTTTAAAGCTATATTTTTATTTTTTAGCGCTGTTTTATGTGGAGTATTAGGAGAACCACCATAGTCAATGTCTCTCAATAGTTATTAGATTCCGAAAATACATATATCTGAATTACCCATAGCACATTATAAGTTTTTAAAGCTTCGCCTTTAAAAATCATGCATAAGTCGTGCAGACTTATAGACGCCTACATTTTTTAAAGCTAATTAAAAACTTGAAGAAGAACATGCCTGTGAGCGAAGAAAAGCCAAGACTTGTTATCTAATAACTAACGTGTTAATAGCTAATAAATCCGCAGCCTTGTTTCTAGTTACTAAATCTTGTTTTTTCTTGAAATTCTGCATATTTATCAACATTTATTTTAATATTTATCACCAAGGGGTAGTTCCATATAGAATAACTGTATGAAAATTTAAAATGCTTGTACATGATAAAATTCAACTAAAAATACATAGAGACAGCTAAAAAGTAGGTTTCTATTAACTTTTTTCCAACAATTAATCCACATATTTTAAGAAACATAAAAAGAATCGTGAACAAAATCACGCAAATTTAATTTTTTTATTACATGGCAGCCTATGTACAGCGTTGTACTTTTACATTACAAATCGCCAAACCTGAATTTCTGTAGATAAAGCGAGTATTTTTGTTAGTTAAACTGATTTTGAGATTTATCTCATATGTTGACGACTGGAATCTTTTTTCAAAATGAGTAAAATCCCAAGAAGTTATTGCTCTTGTTTGAAACTACAGTTGGAGACATTTATTGCAGAAATTAGAAATTAATTCTAATTTCAAATTAAATGAAAACACCCTAAACAACAATGCACAAATATACTTTATAATATAAGCTGCCCAATAAAATGAACGTGTTCCACAGCCAAATTTTCCTCAAATTTGGAAGTGGATAAATTCTGATTGTTTTGACCGATTTGGTTTCTGTTTGAGCCACTATCTAGCTCCATTGGTTTCTTGTTAGTCGGTGTTTTGGTAAAAGTTAACGACGGCAAATACATTTTCTGCAGGATTAAAAATTAAAAAACTCAAAATTGCGGAAATTTGGACCAAAATAAGGATTTCTGGATATCAACCCCAAACGTTTAAAAATAAACCAAATAGCTCAAAGCTCTTTGTGTATTTTTTCGGCCATCTTTTCTATTTACTGGGCGGTCTAAAAAAATCAACTTTTGGGTCTTGCGGCAATAACTGTTCTGTTCTTGGTTCGATCTTCACGATCCAGAACTCATAGACAGGCGTAGTTTTCATACACAATTTAAACCAAAAATTTGACATGCAGGGTCGCATGAAAGGTGGCCTAAAACAGAATTGCCTCGAAATCTGTGACTGGCAGATTTTCAACTAAAATAAAGTTCACTTTCAACTAATATCATTTTCAAAAGTTTATTCATGCAACTCGGTATATCGAATTTTTTCTCAACTCGACTGCAAAGTTTTGACTTCCACAGGAGCTTTCGATTTTACCAATCTGGTCAAAAGGAAAAAATATTTTTCAATATTTAAATAAATTGTTTTTTTAAGATCACTCTGCAAATAACCGAGATGAGCAAATAATTCAAAAACTTTTAGAAACCAGAGATCTGCTTTAAAGCCTATGCTGTTGCATTACAATTAACCGTTTTTTGGCCAACTGAGAGCATCTGGAGCTTTCACTAATTTTGAAAATGTCTCATTTTCCGCCCTAAATAAACTTAATCTGAAGCACTAAGTTATCGCACAAACTGATACTAATCGAAAAAGAACTGCACTAAGTAACGTTTCAAACAGAAATCAATTCACTCTCAGCAGTCAGCATTTATGCATTTCCAAATTTAGTCCAAAATGATCAAATTTGTCCTGAAATTTAAAATTGTCTATTTCAGCATTAGGGAACTAAAAGTATGCACTGAGTTTTGGACATAAACTTAAAGCATATATTATTGAGCTTTCTTCATACTTTGATTTTTTATAGTGCTTCAATCAGTTGGCCACTTATTTTTCTAAAAACATCTTGTATGAAAATCTGATATTAATTTTTTTTTTATTTATGCTCTAAGCTGGTATGACTTTCATGTATCTTTACCAGCTACACTTCGATTTCTAAATGCGTTTCCGCACTTAAAAAGCTATATCAACTATTGTTAGTAGCAAAAGTGTTTTATAAGGTATAATTTATTATTATTTCGGAACAAAACTACATGGCAATAATACAATAGCAACTAGAAATAATATAAATGACAACTAAAATGGTCACAAAATATATGAAAGACGGGAAAATATTTAGTTAGTTAGTAGCCATTCAAAAAAATAATAGTGTGTAAAATTTTCAAAGAAAAGAGACCTTTTAATAAACACGTTATTTCTAATTGGAGTAATTTTCAAGAATCAAAAATAATATTAACATAGTAAGGTTTTTTCCTGCATAGTTACCAATTGGGGATTTCGGGGATATGCTCGAGTTGGTCCTAACTGTTCGTTAGCACTACTGGCTTGTCACAAAAACATTGAAGAGTTTCTGAAAATTCTAGCGACATTTGCATTAAATCGAGGAAAGCCTTATATGGACAATTAAATAGTTTTAACTACGTATAAATTGTGCGAACAGTTAGAAAGCAATTAGGTGCTTGAAAAATGATAAAATGAGAATGAAAACAAAATTTATAAAATAACAACAAAATATATAAACCACGCGAATCTTGCATGTCTTGGTACTGCAAAACAAGTCCTAATCAATCAAAGATGATTTATTTTTTCAATCGCGTTAAAAACCGTTCGGAATGGTGATGCGAAAAAGAAGTTTGACAGTGCAAAAATGGCCTTATTTAAGCTAAGAGGCACGTAAACGGTAAAAGGAAAGGGGGTGGATGTCATTAAAGCAGATTAAATTCTCGGCGTAATAAATGATATTGAAAGTTTGAAACATCCCATACAATCATCCCGCAACTGATGACATGGCAACTTGGGAGTATCGGGGCCGAACAAAAAGGGGACTTTTGAAAGCCTACTACAACAAATAGGCCCGAACCGAATGAAAAATATTCGGGTTTTCCGATTGACTTCCCTGAGTTTGAGCGACTTGAAGCTGGTAGTTGATTAATAGCCATCAGCTTAATCAGGAGTCCAAATTAGGTAAAAAAATGACTCCATTTGCATATCCCCATAAAAATACCTAGATAGTAAGAATATGTCCAAGTAAAACGTAATAAATTATCCGTCAGTATTACCAAATTAATAACATTAAAGAAATATAAATTACGTTTAAAATTACACCACTTTCGTGGTTAAAGGTCATTAAATCAGTTTTATCATAAGAAATACGAATCTTTCCTGATTTTGTTTTAAATGACTGAAAATCAATGGTTTCTATTTTTCTTTTCGATAATTATTTCTCATTTATTTTCACATATTGTTAACCAATATTATGTGATTTCTATTCTATAAACAATTACTTATCAGGACTTACGTGTTTGGATGATGGTCTATTGACAAAGTCGGTAATATTTGCAACTGCTTCTAAAAAAATTTAGTTTTTAGTTTACTCGCTTTCGAATTTTTAAATTGGCCAAACTGCTCACAAAATGTGTACTTTCGTTTTGCGTTTTGGGGGTATAAAATCGACTCTAATTTTTTTGTCTTTATACCAAAGAACAGTTGACTTTCTGATCTATCATCAGGTTTGCTAATTTGTCAGGTGCAAAATTACGCAAAACTTACGTCAGTTATTAAAACAGTTCATTTTCTTTTTAAAATTACTGGAAGTAACATATCAGCGTAATCGATCGTTCCGTTCCCTCGCGAATAAACAGGGCCACATTCATTTCGTAAAACCTCGCTTGCTCGGAAATTATTTTTCATCTTTTGAGATTATTTACGTTAGGGATATCTCAGGCGAATTTGCAACGTTATTTAGAAAGTTCAATATTGATTCGAGCGTGGGCTGATGAGCGGAAATTCAATTAGTTAAAACTAAAAGTTAACAAGAAGGATATTTAAGTCAATTAAGTACACATTTTTCTTTCAACTCTTGATTTTTCCATTCAAAAATTGATTTTGTTCTTTTATTTATTCATTCTTTTGGAATACATCACTTGCAACAAATAAAAAATTCGTTTTTCCTCACTTTCGATTGAATGTTTTTAAAAGTTTCTTATCGGCATTTTCCATATTATGTGTATTTCAATCTTCCACTTTGTATCTATTGGCATCAGAAAACTTTAGATTAAGTTTAGTTGCAAGTTTAGTAACAGAAAAGTAAGAGCGTAAGAGTAAGTTTGATTCGTCTTCTGAAGTCTGATTCGAAGTGAATAAGTGTAGAGGAATATTAGAGTCTTAAATGAGAAGAAGACAGTGGATTTGCTGAGTTGAATAAATTAGATTTAGCAATTTTCAGTTTCAATGATTGTACGAGATACCTCGGAAAACCTTGCGAGAAGAAATAAATTGCTAAAGTAATGTATGCAAGTAGATAAAGGGAAAGTAAGCAAGAAAGATTCCTCTTGCTTTTTACCGACATTGTGAACTTTTATGCAATTTTGACTATCTAACGCTACTCTCAATAAAATGTAATGTTATAACGTGCAGAAAGTATTTTTGTATCAACATTCCATGTGTGAAATTGTAGAATTATTGCGGAAATTGTAGTCCATTAGTTAGAGGAAAATTGTCAGGGGGATTAGTTATGAAAACGAAAAAGTAGGTTTTCTAACACTAACAAAACATGGTGTGTTAAGGAAGTGTGCAGTCGTTATTTAGGGCAGTGGACAAGTAAATAAAGTAGAAAGAAAATATTTCTTGAAACAATTTATAGACCATACA